GGCCTCTGCCCTTCCCCAGCCTCCTCCACAACCTCAGGAGCCACTTCCTTGGCTGTTCCTCATCTCCCTCAGAGTCAGTCTTCACTAGGTGCATGACAGTTACTAACTTAACTGCAGTGATTTGCTTAACAACTGTGGCGAGTAAGTTCATTAAATGGGACAAAAGTCATTTAGCAATTTTTTTCACTTAGCAACAATATCCCAATTTTCCTCCTGAGTTAAAAGCTCACCCTCCGTCAATGTTTCCCCAGAATACAGGTAGTCCTTGACTTAGGATCAAGGCTCAATTGTAGTTCTTAGTCAAGGACTACCTTTATTTGTCTTTCCATTCAGGATTCAGGTAGTGCGCTTAGTCAAGGACTATCTGTATTCTAGAGAGATATTGACGGAGGGTGAATTTTTTTAACCCCAGGAGGAAAATTGGGATATAAATGTAATGAATGAATGCAACATCCTCGTAGCTTTTAAAATCTGAGTTGCAAGGGGCTTAATAGATTGTGCTTCCATTGTAGACTTATGTATTCAACTATCAAAATAAATTCAATTAATCTGCAGAAGCAGAAGCTATTAGATAATTAAAAATAAATAGCAAACATCGCCATCTAGTGGTAAGGGCTGAACTAGCCACCACCATCGCACAAAATTGAGATAAGGATTTTTTTTTTTAAAAAAAGAAAGATTAGCTGAAATAAGATAAAAGTGACTGTACAGCTAATGTGGCTTTAAAAAAAAGGAGTAAGATTAATGTGAGATGATTTCTCCTAAGACACCCATGCTTGCTCTTGTCACCACATCATTCCAATAAATATTCATAGATTGTGAAAAAAAAATTGAGGTAAGAGAGGCCAGGTTCAATCTGGTTAGCAATTACAAGATTAACCTATTTAAAGAATATATGGAACCAAACACTGACTGAATGCATCGCCAAAACCCACGAATTTTTAAAACCGGCAAAGTTTAGCATGTGGTATGACTGCTAAGTTTATCACTGACATGGTATGTTGTGGGAATATAGCCAGGCAGTCAAAGACAGAAAGCAATTTCTCCAAAACCAAACAGAAAAAGAAAATCACAACACAAGAACTGAAATACCAGAATTATTTGAAAGGCATTTTATTTTTATTGCCAACCTGAATGCAAACCATTAAAAATGGTCCACCGCTCCGTATGCAGAAGCCAAGTTCTCAATTGCTAGGGCAGCCAAAATGTCTATTCTGCATCGGCTCTTGACATGGCAACTCCATCCCTCAAGCTATTTATTAGAGAAGCATAAAAGTGACAAGTTTGGGATCTTCAGGCATTTGTCACCATCCACCAAAGTTCCCTAACGCGCAAACTTTCAGTGAAAAAGCAGGAAAAAAAATGAGCCTGAAAGATCTCTCAAAATGTCTTTGACCCGCTTGTCAACAGCTCTGCGTGAATCCTTAGAAATGCTTTAAAAAAGATGGCAAGATGGCTTGTGAATGTGAACAAAGTGCCTTGTCTAATTAAAGGGATCGGCAACCTCCCGGGGTCTGGCAAGGCCGTACATTGTAACTAGGGTCATGACAGGTGTAGAAAGGTTAAAAAAACAGGTACTATGTTTCCCCCACAATAAGACCTACCTAAAAAATAAGCCCTAGCCTGGTTTTTTTTAGTGTGCTCCTAATATAAGGCCTATCCTCAAAAAAGTCCTATGTCAACTCACAAAATATTTCTATGGTCTTTTCAGAGTTGCCAACAGAAAGGGGGGAGCAATGCGGCAGCTTGGAAACTGGAAGTGCATTCCATAAATAGTTTTCAAAGATAATAACTAGGTGACTGATGTTTCTGCCGTGCAAATATCTGATTGATGACTCTTGGCTATGGATGTGTCCCACTGGAGAATATGAATTACGATACACCCAGGAGGTGGGAGAAAACCAGAGTCAAGGGTGACAATGAATTAGGTGTCTCAGAGTCGGCTACACCCAGGTCATGCCGGCATGTCAACTCCCAATAAATCCTTTTGAAGTTTTGCAAGTTTGGCTCGAGAGTCATGATTTAAATGGGGGTAACTTCTGGAATCCTGACATCCTGGATAAGATCATCAGTGGGGGGATGTGGCTAGTACTGGAGGTGGCGAGAGCATGGGGGCTGAAAGTGTCCAGCAGCAGCCATAGTCTATGCAGTGCAGGTGAGTTGATTACCTACCCAAGCAGCAGGCGGAGGCAGAAGCAAGGGAAAGGCATGCCGCGTGGGACATGAGAAAGCCAAGAGTTGATAGGTTGGAGAGGCTGGGCGGATTATTCTACCTGAGACTTCTCAGGAAAGAGCAACTGGATGAAAAACTGCTAGTGACCTTCTACCGCTGCACCACAGAGAGTATCTTAACTTACTGCACCTCTGTATGGTTTGCCAATTGCACAGTGGCAGATAGGACAGCACTCCAGAGGGTTAATGTCATTGCCCAGAAGATCATGGGTTGCCTTCTCCCCTCTTTGGAAGAGCTTTATAGCTCCTGCTGCCTTCAGAAAGCTCAAAATATTCTCAAAGATCCATCTCATCCTGGGAACCCTTTTTTTTTTTTTGGAACTATTACCATCTGGCAGACAGTACAGAATAATAAAAACAAGTACAAATAGGCTGAAAATATCCCAGGGCAGTAACTCCATTGAATTCTACTGTATAGTGCAATATTAATGCAATATCAGGGGTTTTAAATTCAATTCTATAGAATGTGAAGGATGTTTCTATTTGTTTTCATAGTCATAAATTGTACACTGAAGATGGTATTTAATTTTGTTGTATGAGGCGCAATGACAATAAAGAAAACTAAAGTAAACTCTCAGCTTGCCTGCTCTGTTGTGGCCACGAGCAAGCAGAAGAACTGGGCCAGAGGCCATGTGGGGTCCTGTTGGATGGGGCTGTTGGAAGCGCCACCACAAGGCAAGGCATGTATTGAACCGTGGGGGTCTGCCTATGGGACCCGGAGGTAAGCTGGTGCGGGGCGCGTGGGGCAGCTCCACCTCCCCCTGCCTCGCAGCTGGCAAACTGTGAGGCCTCCTGCCCTGCTGCAGCTGTGAGCAAGAGAGAAGAAGTGGGCCTCCCGTACATTGGGGGGAAAAAAGACATCCCCCCAAAATAGTCCCTAGTGCCGTGATTGCCAACCTATGGCACACGTGCCACAGGTGGCATGCAGAGCCATTTGTGCCGGCACACGAGGTGCAGGCAAACTTACCTCACTGTATATCCGCGTACTTCACAGCTGATTTTCGGTGGATTTGAGGCCTTTTTTGGCCTCCAGAGGCTTGAGGAAGGCTTCTGCAGGCCGAAAATTAGGCCCATTTTGTCACTTCCTGTTTTTCCGGAAATACCAGACGTGACAAAACAGGCCTAGTTTTTGGCCTGCAAAGCCTGCAGAAACTTTCCTCAAGCCTCTGGGAGGCCAAAAAAGGCCTCAAACCCACCAAAAATCACCTGAGGCAGTGTAGGTAAGGAGGCGGGGGGGTAGGTTGGGATTGCGTGCACATGCGTAGGGGGTGTGGAGAGACGCATTGCCTTCTGGTGCTGGCACACGAGCGCAAGCATGCAAGCGCGCACATAGCTTTTGGCACAGGAGCCCAAAAAGGTTAGCCACCACTGCCCTAGTGCTTATTTTGGAGCCTCCAAAAATATAAGACAGGGTCTTATTTTGGGGGAAACACAATAGGAGTTACCTGTGAACAGAGGAAAAATTGTTTGCACTTATTTTGGGGCTTTGAGAAGTCGTACAGCTCTTTTTAAATTGATAGATACTTCAACAACTTAATTCTACTTCACATACAGATAGTCCTCAACTTACGAACACATTTGGGACCAGAATTTCCACTGCTAAACAAGGCAGTTAGGATAAATGAGCCGGACCCAAATTTTTGACCTTTTCTGCCAACATTATTAAGCAAATCACATTTAAGTGAATCATGCAGTCATGAAGTGAATCCGGCTTCCCTCGTTGACTCTGCTTGTTGGAACCCGGGCCGGGCAGGTCGCAAATGGTAACTTATGAGACCTCAGGATTCTTCAACCATCACATAATGTATGCTAGTCGCTGGGCACCTAAATTTGGATCACATGACTGTGGGGAACGCTGCGACGGTTATTAAGGGCAAGGACTGGTCGCAAGTCATTTTTTTCATTGCGCCGCTAAACGAATGGCTCCCAAGTCGAGGACTACCTGTAAATGAACAGTTCTAAGTTGAGGGCTTCGTGTTTCAAACCTGCTGCCAGCAACCTGTTTCTCTGTTCTACCCACCAAGTTCTTCTTTTATGGGGAGGTTTGTCCTGCATGTACGATTCTGCCATCAGTCGTTTCCAGGGCTGGGCTGCTGGGGGTTCGCAGGGGTTCGGTAGAGCCCCTAGCTAAGATTCTGCGCAGTTCGGAGAACCGCCCCCCCCCAAATCCCATTCCTGGCTGGCCCTGCCCACCCTGCCCCTCCCCTCCCCTCCCAGGAGCCCCCACATGACCCATTTTGGATGCAGGTAAGTGCAGGAGGCCTGGAGAGGGCAAAAAACGGGCCTCCTGGAAGTTTGGGAAGGCCAGAAATGGGCTCATTTCGGGCTTCTAGAGAGCCTCCGGAGCCTGGGGAGGCTGTTTCCGCCAGCGATGGGATTCAAATTTTTTTACTACTGGTTCTGTGGACGTGGCTTTGGTGGGCGTGGTGTTGCTTGGTGGGCGTGGCAGGGGAAGGATAGTGCAAAATCCCCATTCCCTCCCCACCCCACCTAACCTGCTTTCCAGCTCTGTTCTCCTGTGCAGGGCAACCAAAGAAGGCCCAGCCGATCAGTTGGGACTCATCGGGAGGCAGAGAAGAGATGGGGGCGGGGCCAGTCAGAGGTGGGATTTGTTGGTTCTCCGAACTACTCGAAATTTCCGCTACTGGTTCTCCAGAACTGGTCAGAACCTGCTGAATACCATCTCTGGTTTTCGCCCTCTCGGAGCTTGAGGAAAGCCTCCGGAGCCCGGGGAGGGCAAACCCCGCCTCTGCCATAATGCAGGAGGCCGAATAGGCCACGCCCACCATGGCGACGCCCACCCAGCAGCCAGGCCGAGAACCCATTGCTGACCTTTTTGAAGCCCACCCCTGGTTGTTTCCCTACTTTGGCCCTATTATGATTGATAGGTGAACGCACGCGATTGCCATTCACTCTTGCCCGTACGTGCACGCCTACATTCAGCCACCTCCGCTGAGCACACGGGTGAACAAGCTGAGCCTCCTGGTTACTTCTGCCACTCCTCTGCGGCAGACACCGGCAGGCGATGGGAGGGAACGTTGGGCTGCTTCGGTTCTTCTGATGGAGGCCGGGACAGAAGGAACGAGTAATGGTAGCCCTTGATGTAATCTTCCTGAGAAGGGAGGTCCATGGGGACATTGACGTTGCAGAGGTTGGGACGCACAGATGTGGAGATTTGGGGGACAGCTGAGGAACAGCTGGCTGTGGGCGAGGCCCGCTCCGACTTCACACTGATTTGGGTGTGCAAGGAAGGGGAGGCGGGAACTACAGAAGCCTGGTCACAAATCCGGCTTGCTGTTCTGTAAGGAAAAAAAGAAATACATTATGTGTACAGGGGGCAACACAGCTTACAAGCGCAACTGGGAGCAGAATTACGTCGTCATAATTTGAGGCAGATCCAAATTTATAACCATTTTTAAGATGGTTGCTAAGAGAAACATTTGGGTTGTTAAGCAAATTTGTGGTTGTTCTGTGAATGCCACGGTCTTAAGTATGAACCCATTTATAGTCAAATTGTAGCCCTGGTCAAAAGGGCCCACCAGAGATTATACGACCTGAGACTTCTCAGAAAACAACTGAATGAAAAACTGCTGGTGACCTTCTACCGCTGCACCACAGAGAACATTTTAACATTCTACACCTCTGTATGGTCTGCCAATTGCACAATGGCAGATAGGAAAGTACTCCAGAGGGTTAATGTCATTGCCCAGAGGATCATTGGTTGCCCTCTCCCCTCTTTGGAAGAGCTTTATAGCTCCCGCTGCCTTGAGAAAGCTCAAAACATTCTCAAAGATCCATCTCATCCTGGGAACCCTTTTTTTGAACTATTACCATCTGGCAGACTGTACAGAATAATAAAAACAAGGACAAATAGGATGAAAAACCCCTTCTATCCCAGGGCAGTAACTCTATTGAATTCTACTGTATGTACACTGAAGATGGTATTTAATTTCATTGTACGATGTGCAATGACAATAAATTAAACTAAACTAAACTAAATTCTTCCAAATTGACCATTTGCCGAAAAGCAGCAAAAAAAAAAAGGCTCACAAATCATGATTATGTGACTGCAGGTCATAAGCACAAGATAGTTGCCAAGCACCCAGTCTGATCATGTGATCACATGAGGACGCAAGGGTTATAAGTGCAAGGACTGGTCGTAAGTGTGAGGACCAAATTTTTTCCAGCACCATTGTATCATTGAATGGTCACTAAACAGATGGACATAAGTCAAGAACTACTTGTATAAAACTTCTGAGAAATCAGTTTATATTCTGAATTTTCCGGGAAAAGATGCACTTCTCTCTGAAAGCATGAGATGAATCAAGCTATTCTAAGTGAATTATCTCTAAAAAAAACCCACACCCCTTCACACAAATCGTTGTTCCTTTATTAATGTCAAATCCAATGGTTGACCAGAATCCAAAAATCAGTTTTTTAAGTTTTGCATCGCAATCCGATTCCAGCTTTTTTGGAAGTAGGAATTGCTACACTGTGGATACTGAATGTGGTCACAAGATGGCAGCAAAATCGTGCTAATGATTGTGTTCATCTGGCTTTGCATCAAATTTATTGGAGAAATAAGAATTTCAGAATTTCTCATGGCACACACAACTTCACATGCCTTTAGCCTCAAGAGGTGTCCAAGATTCTCATCTAAGCCTTAGTAAGGCCACACCTAGAGTACTGCCTTCAGTTTTGGTCACCACACTATAAAAAGATGTTGAGACTCCAGAAAAAGTGCAGAGAAGAGCAGCCAGGATGATGAGGGGACTGGAGGCTAAAACATATGAAGAACGGTTACAGGAACTGGGCTTGGCTAGTCTAGTAAAGAGAAGGACCAGGGGGAGACATGATAGCAGTGCTCTAATATTTGAGGGGCTGCCACAGAGAGGAGGGGGTCACGCTATTTTCCAAATCACCTGAACGCCAGACAAGGTATAAAGGGTGCAGTCATTCAGCCAAAATTGAGTCTATCTAACAGTAATACCATCTAGCACAGGGGTGTCAAACTGGAGGCCCACTGTCCGGATGCGTCACATGCTGGCCACGTCCACCCCAGTTTAGCGAAGGGGGGGAAAGTTGCGATGTCACGTGATAATATGACACTGCAAGTTTGACACCCCTGATCTAGGCCAATCTTCCTTCCTTCCTCTTCCTTCCTTCCTTCCTTCCTCCCTCCCTCCCTCCCTCCCTCCCTCATTCTTTCCTCCCTCCCTCCCTCCTCTCTTTCCTTCCTTCTTTCCTCCCTCTCTCCCTCCTCCTTTCCTTCCTTCCTTCTTTCCTCCCTCCCTCCTCCTTTCCTTTCTTCTTTCCTTCCTCCCTCTCTCCTCCTTTCCTTCCTTCCTCCTTCCTTCTTTCCTCCCTCCCTTTCCTTCCTTCCTCCTTTCCTCCCTCCCTCCTCCTTTCCTTCCTTCCTCCTTCCTTCTTTCCTCCCTCCCTCCTTTCCTTCCTTCCTTCTCTCCTCCCTCCCTCCCTCCCTCCTTCCTTCTTTCCTCCCTCCCTCCCTTCCTTCCTCCCTTCCTTCCCAGCTCAGTCCTTCAGCTTGGGCTCCCAACCAACCCCAGCTCATCCCGGCAGCCTCAGGGAAACTGAGGCAGGGGCTGCCCTTTCCTCAGCGCCCGCTCCTTTTAACTGCTTGACTATTGCTGGGCTAAAGGAGTTTTCTCACTACTAATAGCAGGAGCTTATTAGGAAGCTGCTCCCGGGGCTCGGATAGGAGAATCCCGGGGGGAGAGGGATGTCCACTGGCTAAGGCGCTCCCCGCCACCGCGCCAGAAGGAAGCCACCATCAGCCGCTGTTGTGTGGTCAGGAAAAAAAAACAACCTGCCTCGAATCTGTCATTGAAGGCAACCAGAACACACATACAGCATAGCCCCTATCTACTAAGTTGACTTGTACCATGATGAGCTGTTTATCTGCTAAGGATAAGATTGAAAATGCAGATGGTTGAATTTAGCCAAGCAATTGCGTATCTATCAGTGGTGGGATGCTGCTGGTGTAACAACTGGTTCACTAATCGTGTGCTTTGCACATACGTATGCCAGACCTGCGCTACACACGCGTGTGCAGCTTTCAAAATTACTTACCTTCAATGTTACTTTGGGGAAGTAACAGATAACAGATAAACTGAGTTGGAAGGGACCTTGTAGCTCATCTAATCCAACCCCCCACCCCGCCCAAGCGGGAGACCCTACACTATTTCTGACAGATGAAAGTCCAATCTCTTCTTGAAAGTCTCAAGTGATGGAGCTCCCACAACTTCCAAGGGCAACTTCTGTTCCATGGGTTGATTGTTCTCACTGTCAGAAAGTTTCTCTTTATTTCCAGGTTGAATCTCTCCTTGTTCAGTTCCCATCCATTTATTCCTTGTCTGGCCTTCAGGTGTCTTGGAAAACAGCTTGTCCCCCTCCTCTCTGTGGCAGCCCCTCAGATATTGGAAGACTGCTATCATGTCTCCCCTGGTCCTTCTCTTCACTAGACTAGCCATGCCCAGTTCCTGTAACCGTTCTTCCTTTGCTCCAGTCCCCTAATCATCCTGGTTGCTCTTCTATGCACGTTTTCTAGAGCTGTGGTAGTTAACCTTTTGGGGCTCCTGTGCCAAAAATTGTGCATGTGATTGCACACTCGTGCTTGTGTGCCAGCAACCAGAAGGCAATGTGTGCCCCACCCCCACGCCCGCTACACATGCGTGCGCAATCCCACCCCCACCAACCGCAACCCCCTTACCTGCACTGCACCTCATAGCTGATTTTCGGCCGGTTTGAGGCCTTTTTCGGCCTCCCAAAGGCTTGAGGAAGGCTTCTTCAGGCTTCTGCTAGCTTTGTAGGCCGAAATATAGCCCCGCTTCGTCACTTCTGGTATTTTTGGAAAAACAGGAAGTGATGAAACGGAGCTAGATTTCAGCCTACAAAGCTTGTAGAAGTCTGAAGAAGCCTTCCTCAAGCCTTTGGGAGGCCGAAAAAGGCCTCAAACTGGCCGAAAATCAGCTGTGAGGCGAGCACATGCGCAGTGAGGAAAGTTTGCCTGCCGCTCGCCTGCTGGCACATATGGCTCTGCGTGCCACCTGTGGCATGCGTGCCATAGGTTCGCTATCACGGTTTGAGTCTCAACATCTTTTTTTATAGTGTGGTGACCAAAACTGGAGGCAGTACTCTCGGTGTGGTCTTACTAAGGCTTTATAGATTGGTATTAGTACCACACTTGATCTCGATTGTATCCCTCTGTTAATGCAACTTAGGACTGCATTAGTAACACAGCTGAGGCGTGGCAATCCGCTCTGCAGCGTGAATCAGCTGAGCAGATATAGAGGAGTACAGCGCAAGGGGCTGAACCAGCAGAATCCCACCCCTGCTATCTACTAACCATACAGGCCCAAACATGGGGCAGTTTTGCAACTTAACTCCGTGCATGGTTGTAATACAAGATGGCGCAGACTGCTGCCCACCCCCCGCCCTTTCCCCCATCCACAAGCGTTACTGGTTTGGTTTTAGGTGGATCGCAGGGCTGTAAAATTTGTTCTGAGAGATACCCAGAACGACAGCTGATACCCATGAATTCACACCACAGCCAAACCCAGGTTCAGAAACCAAACAGGCTGACATGTCAGTGGAGCATAGGTTGCACGGACTCAGGCCCAAAGGGCTTTCCATGCAGTTGTTGGGTCACCCTTTGCAACCTGCCAATTCTTACCCCGGCATTGGATATTCTCGGTGTTGCCAAGCCGCCGTGGTGTTTCCTTGGAAGCCAAAGGGGTGCGGGGCGCTTTCCCCCAAAGTATATTCTGAAAGTCAAACAATGGGAAAAAAAACAAGAAGGCAAGGAAGCTTAAATGATACAACAATAAACCAGATTTGACAGCTCCATTGAAGAGGTTCATTGTCTTTATAACATGCTTGGAAGTTCTCACAACTTTAGGTAGTCCTCGAATTATGACCATTCGTTGAATGATCGTTCATAGTTTTGACGGCGCTTAAAAATGTATGACCAGTCTTCACACTTATGACAGCATTCCCGTGGTCACATGATCAAAATTTGGGCTCTTAGCAACCGGCATATTTTTATGACAGCATCCTGGGATCATCTGATTGTCATTTGTGACCCTTTCAGGGGGTTTCCGACAAGCAAAATCAATGAAGAAGCTAGATTCATTTAACGACCGCATGATCCACTTAATGCTTCATTTCATGACCCACATCAACAAAAGTTAAAAAAACAACCGGGTGCAGGTCATGTAACAACTGCGTCGCTTAGTGATGGAAGATGTTTTGGTCCCAATTGTGGTCGTAAGTAGAGGACTACCTGAAAACAAATATCTCTCACTGTAAATCCAAACTTCCTGCTATAAATAGAGTTAGAACACTGCATTATAGGACTTGGAGATCTTCTGAGGCCAGTGTTTTTCAATCTTGGCCACTTGTAAGACACGTGGACTTCAACTCCCAGAATTCTCCAGCCAGCAATGTGGCTGGGGAATTCTGCGAGTTGGAAGTCCAACGTATGTTAAGAGTGGCCAAAGGTTGAGAAAAACTGGTCTAAGATCAATCTCTTGTCCTGGACAGATGGAGAGAGCCAAGGAGCTGATTTTGGAAAAGCAAAATAACAATTGAATAAATTCTAAGACGCAGAGAAAGCGGAAGGAGCTTGTTTCCTGATCTGGCCCTACCTCAAAAGGATCTTTACACCATCCCAGACAAATGGTTCTTCAACCTTGACTTGAAAACCTCCAGTGATGGAGCCCCCAGAAAACAAGAAGCTGCTTACACAGTTACCAGTGAGCCGTGGTGGTGCAGTGCTTAGATTGCAACATTGCAGGCTAATTCCGCTGCCTGACGACTGCCAGCAGTTCGAATCCCACCAGGCTCAAGGTTGACTCAGCCTTCCAGCCTCCCAAGGTCAGTCAAATGAGGACCCCAGATTGTTGGTGCCAATATGCTGTCAGGGCTCCGATAGTTACCCCCATTTAAATCGTGAGTTTCGAGCCAAACTTCCAAAACTTAAAAAGGATTTATTGGGAGTTAACATGCCGGCACTGCCTGGGTGTAGCCGACTCTGTAACATATAATTCATTGTCACTCTTGACCCTGGTTTTCCTTCCATCCCCTGAGTGTATTGTAATTCATATTCTCCAATGGAACACATCCATAGTCAAGAGTCATCAATCATACTCTCCAGTTAGAATTTTGCGGCAGAAACTTCGGTTGCCTGGAAACTATCTATGAAAACTATTTCTGGAATGTACTTTCAGTTTCCAAGCTGCCGCACTGCTCCCCCCTTCCTTCCTGTTGGCAACTCTAAAAGACCAGAGAAATATTTTATGAGTTGACACTGACTCTATAAACTGCTTAGAGAGAGCTGTAAAGCACTGTGAAGCAGTATATAAGTTTAAGTGCTACTGCTGTTGCTATTGCTTACCAGGGTTAGGAAATTTTTCAAAAGACTTAGAAACTTAAGCAAACATAGTTGCCAGAAGATCACTAGAATTAGCCTTGGACATGGCGAGATAAGGTTCTGTCGGGCTCCGAGTTCACTCGGAGCCCATCAGCTTCGAATATGCCTTGCAGCAAGTCAGCTGGCCATGTCACCTTATCTCTGCTGCTGCTGGATCTGTATTTCTGCTTGTGTGCTGGCCGATGGCTTGGGAATGACTCAGCAGAGCTGAGGATGGATTCTGAAACAACTGCGGGGCTGCTGGAAATGGCTCGTCTTGTATTGATGTGGTGCATATTATTAAAGGGGGTTGGGGCACATATAGGTGGTAATTAAGCCTTAGATTAAAACATGGTGAAGGTAGCACCAGGTGGGGATCAGTTAGTGAGAGTTGGAATAGGGTAGGGATGTAGACATGTTATAGGGTTAATAGCATTTAGGGATAATGGGTTAGGCGTGGCCAGAATTAGAACTGCGTATAGGCCTGGGTGTGGTGGGGTGTTGTTAGGAATATAAGTCACCTAATAGGCATTTGGGTTAGAATATATAAACCAGGAAAGACATTTTAATACTGTCTCTTTAAGAGCATGCTAAAAACTGCAATTGGGTGTGGTTACTCAAATGGCCATAAGATGGAGCCAGAGACCTGGATTGTTTTAGTCTTAGTCTGAGTCTCAGAAGAGAGTGTGAGTGTATCTCTGTTTCCTTCTGTTGGAAAGTATTGCCGTTGCTCCATTTCTTCTAATTGACTGATATTACCGGATTTAATGTAAGTCTAATACTGAACTGTTTTTGATACTGGAATTTGATATTTGGATTATCCCTGGATGAAAACTGTCTGATTTTACCTGTGAATGAACTGAATTGGACTGCCTATTTTGGACTTTGCTTAACGTTTCTGGAAGTAAAAACCTACATTTACTGTACAGTGTATCTGTGTGCTGTATGTGTATTATTCAAACACTCCTCTCAAACACGTCGCCCTGTATGCGCTCGTTCTCCTAATGGGGAATTACCTCAACAGGTGTGTCTCATGATAACAGTAATAAAAGGAAAGGGAGCAAACTCAAACCCAACTCTAACCTTGCTTGGCTTTTAGCCTTTCTTGTCAGAGAAGAGACTTTGTTGTTTGCTGAGCTAATGAATAAATCACCATTGCATGACAAAGGAGCTGGAGTTTGTATTCATTTCAGGACAAATCTTCAATACTCAAGGACTGGCTGAGAGGTTCTTTATTCACACCTAGAACCCTGTGTGGAGCATACCTGATGGGGTGGAGGAGAGGAAGGGGTATCCTGGTAGCCCTCGTCCAGGTAGACCTCCAGCGGGCAATACGGGACTCAGATTCTGAAGCCCAGGATACAACGGGTACTGTGGGAAAAGAGAATCAGATTGAAATCACCTCCTGTAATGTTTTTCATCTACTGACTAACCCATCAAATGTTTTTTTTTCAATAGAGGACAGCATCCAGGGGTGGGCTGCTCAGGGTTCTCTGGGGTTCGGGAGAGCCCCTAGCTATGATTCTGTACAGTTTGGAGAACCCCCAAATCCCTCTCCTGGCTGGCCCTGCCCTGTCCTGCCTACCCCTCCCCTCACAGGAGTCCCCAGGCGGTCTGTTTTGGATCCAGGAAAGTGCAGAATCGTAGCTAGGGGCTCTCCCGAACCCCAGCGAACCCTGAGCAGCCCACCCCTGGATGCTGAGAGAGAAAGAGAGAGAGAGACGGTGCCTGAGCCATCCGTCAGTCCTCAGGTCTGGAGATGGCTGATGAGGAAGAGGAGGAACAGCTGGGTCCAGTGCCTGACGTGTAGATGCGCAGAAAGCAGAGGAGAGGAGAGCAGTGGAAATCCATGGGCCAGTCCTTGGGAAGGAAGAGCACTGCTACTAGCGAAGCCCAACCCTAGCTCTGGGGATAAAAGGCAGGAGGCGGAGATGAATAGATGTGGCAGACAACTATTCATCACCCTGCTGGATGGACTTGTTAGCCTGTGGTGAGAGAGAAACTTTTAGCTGGGGCTGCTGGCGCTCTTAATAAAGGAATCTTTGAGTTAATGTCAGAGGCTCTGTCGTGATCGGGGAGCTGGATGAGAACACAGTCCTTGACTTATGACTGTAATTGTGTCATGCCCTTGTTGGAGTCTGTGAAGCGGTATAAAAGTCTAAGTGCTATTGCTATACATATCTTTCCCTCCCTCTCGCATTCTCTCTCTCTCTCTCTCAAACACACACACACTATCCAATGAAATTCTGCCAACTGCCAGCAGTTCATTTCTGACCAGCTCAAGGCTGATTCAGCCTTCTATCATCCGAGGTCAGTAAAACAAAGACCTAGATTGTTGGGGGCAATATATGCTGACTCTGTAAACCGCATAGAGAAGGCTCTAAAAATCAATGAAGCGGTATAGAAGTCTAAGTGCTATTGCCATCTACTCCCCCCCCACCCAAAAGAAAAACAACAACAGATGGATATTGTTAAGTTACTCACTGTGGATGCTAGATTGTTCCTGCTTGCCGAAAACTGTCCTTCCACCCGGCGGGAGTCAGCTCCCAGATAGAGCGGGGGAGGCGTTTTGCTTGACAACACACGGCTGAGGTTGCTATGGGAGAAGATCGAGTACCCGATGCCTGGAGAGTCAGAAAGGGGGTGAAATTCAGGCTGGTGACAGTCCAGAAGACCCATCCCCTGATTATAGGTGGGCAGCACTCTGTGTGGCCCACCACCAAAGCCCCATTCCTAGATGGCCTGGGCTTACCACTATACCGAAATGCAGTAGTAGTATGGCTCGTCACGCAAGAGGACAGGAAACCACCCTTAATTAAATAATTATTTGATATTCTGGGAGTTGAAGGCCCCGTCTCAAAATTGTCAAGGTTGGGCACTCATGCGTCAAACAGACCCAGTTCCTTGAGGTCAGGGGTGTCAAACTCAGTTTCACTGAGGGCTGCACCAGGGGGGCGTGGCCAGGGGGTCATGGCCAGCTCAACATCACTCGTGTCAGGGGCTCCTGTGGTGGCCTGAGCACTCTGCCAGCAAAAACAGGCTCCCAAGCTCCGTTTTCAGCTGCAATGGCCTCCTGAGATCCACTGCCAGTGAAAACAGGCACTCGAATTCTGTTTTCAGCTGTGATGGCCTCCTGCAATCAACTGCCAGCAAAAACAGGCTCCCGAGCTCAGTTTTCAGCTGCGATGATCTCCTGCAATCCACTGACAGCGAAAACAGGCTTCCAAGCTCCGTTTTCAGCTGCGACAGCCTCCTGCAATCCACTGCCAGAGAAAACAGGCTCCCGAGCTCCGTTTTCAGCTGCGACGGCCTCCTGTAATCCACTGACAGCGAAAACAGGCTCCCAAGCTCCCAAACAGGAATGTCAAAGTAATGTGGTTTTTTTTCCTCATTGCTGGATTTTCCATATATGATCTTGTATTTTGAAACTGGACTGGTTTTTTCGTTTATATCTATTTTTTTCTTCTCCTTTTTGATTTTGTAATATTTTAGGCTAGAGGCTCCCTTAGTTATTTCATTTTTAAAAAAATATCTTTTCTTTTTTTATTAATTCTTATTATATCCTGCTCGGAAAAGGAGGGGGAAAGTGAGAGCAAAGAAACTTTGTAACACTGCCAACTAGAGGCTTGAAAATATTCTATTTCCCTGTGACCAAACAAAGCTGAGAAAGAAAGAACTGAGACTCTCTTTCAAGGACATTGCTATTTGATAAGATGGAGGGAAGAGCATGGGAGAGTATTATTGCAGGTGCTCTTCTGGGTTTCTATCAACAGCTGGAGTCTGGTGTTGAAACGTAGGGGGAAAAATGGTGATAAGTTTTGGGAGAAGAGAGTTATAATAAGAGCCTTGGATAATCAAACGAAGTGCATTGTGCCCTGTTTACTTTTCCTAAGTTGTGCTATCCCTTCTCACCAACTTTATTGTATTTTTTTTATCTTTTGTTTTGTAATAACTATTTGGGTTTTTTGGCTTTGTTGGAGCTTGTACCTCTGTTGATGCAGCCCAAGTTGTAAGTCGAGAGCTACCTGTACTTGGTTGTAGGCTGAGGATTTACCTGTACTCAGAGAGGTGAAACCCAAGCATTTCATCCAGGCTCTTATGGGAATGACATACCTGGTCCAAGGGTTGCCGGGGATCGCACAGAAGGGAAGGCTGGCTTGGGAAGAGTTGGCTTCAACTGCTGCAGACGGCTCTGTTGAACTGGAGATTCACCTGAATTGCTTGCCCCACCTTCACCTCCAGATGGGGGTGTTCCCAAGGATGCCCCCTCCAGACTAGACAGGGAAGCGGCTGACTGCAAGGAGAAGAGAACATCAAAAATGATCAGGAGGGGAAAAGTTGATTATTTGGGCTCTTTTGAGTTAGAATGGAATAAGCTTGTTTGCTGAGGACATCCTGGGAAGATCTGTTGAAAATCTCCTTCTATGTCAGGGGTGTCAGCGTAACTCCGAGGCAGGTAGATTCCTCAAAGGGTATGTATATTGGATAGATCATATTGGCACAGCTGGTGAAAACCAACTCTGACAGTTCCCGTGGTTTTCACCTAATTAAAAGAATCAAACTCCCTCTCCCCCAGTTGTCATATTGTCCAGGAAGATGGAAGGAAGACTCTTCTCCTCTTTCAATGGCCAACTTGTTTCAGTGACCTTGGTTCCCACAAGAAAGCATTTTGTTTTGACTGGAACCTGGCTATCTACTTCCCCTCTCCCTTCCCATCTCTCTGGCTTTGTGGCAACTGTGAGACAGCACAAGATGGCTTCAGCCAGGTTCTGTGATGACCCATGGCGTGGCACAAAAATAACAAGTCACAAAAATAGATACATTCCCTTTAATAACTCCAACTTGGCCCCCAATGTGCAATTATCCTTGGCTGGAGATCAAACTCTTCCAAAAACAGTCTACAAAGGAAAGAAATGCAGTCTGAACCCATAGTACAGATAAATTAGAAATTAAAAAACCAACACAAATCACACTGAAGTAATTAACACGACAGGCCAGGATAATAAATTGCAGACTTCCAAAAGATAACAACGCACACACAGTTGGGAGGACGCCAAAACCCAGATAAGCCTCGACAAAAATAATGCATGCTTTGCTTGCAGCAAGGAGCTGTGTGCAAACGACCTTATTATATCCTGTTCTCCCAGCTGCAACTAATGAAAGGGATCAGCGCCCTTTTCTCTCCCGTAAGCCATGTTGCTCCCTTCTCTGTTCCTCCCTGTGTGCCCTAGGATGAAAAGGGGGTGGCCCTGGGTCTTCCTCTGAATGCCCAGCAGGACTGTGCCCTTCCCCCATGTCTTCCATGGCCACCGGATCCACACTCCCACTCCCTGTCAGCTCCTCAATCTCCCCCTCAGAATCAGACTCCACAAGGGCATGACAGGTTCACTTCAGAGTTGACAAAGGGTGTCCAACCTTAGCAGCTTTAAGACTTGTGGACTTCAACGCCCACAATTCCCCAGTCCTTTGCTGTTCACAAAATGAGGTGTAGCACATTCAATATTAAGCATGTGACCTTTATCACTGCTAATATCACTGCTTTACTGTACTGCAATCGATCTTTAGTAAACTATACCTTTCTCAACAAAGGGAGTCAAGGATGGTTCTTACTTAAAGGTGCCTAAGTATGTGGATAAGATAGTCCTGGAGTTACGACCCCAATTGAGCCCAACATTTATGTTGCGAGGTGAAACATTTGATACGTGAGTTTGCCCCATTTTATAACTTTTCTTGCCGCAGTCATTAAGTGAATTACTGCAGTTGTTAAGTTGGCAACACGGTTGTTAAACAAATCTGGATTCCCCGTTGACTTTGCTCGTCAGAAGGTCGCAAAGGTGGATCATGTGACGTCAAGCGTCATAAATATGAACCACTTGCCAAGCATCTGAATTTTGATCACGTGATCATGGGGATGCTTGCAATGGTCATAAGTGTGAAAAACAGTCCTAAGTCATTTTTTTCAGTGCCGTTCAGTTTGAATGGTCACTAAATGAACCATTGTAAATCGAGGACTACCTGAATTTTTAATCTGGACTCATTCTGTTTTTCATGGTTCCAACCTTACTTTTTTCTTCTTTCATTTCCACATCAGTCTGTGTATTGGTGAATCCAAAGAGCTCGCATGAAAAAATGAACAGGTATCACATATGAAATTCTACTCATCTATACACGATACACATTTTTCATATGACTTGCAACTCCTGGCAAGCAATTTCTCCCACTATAATGTCTTCTATCCTTTATGACTACTCATGGACTTAAGCACAGTACACAAAATTATCTGCTACAATGTCCTACGAGTCAATGACTACTCCAACTTCAACCACAACAATACAAGAGCGCACAACAGATAGAAACTCAATGTAAACCGCTTCAAACTCGATTGCAGAAAGTATGACTTCAGCAACAGAGTGGTCAATGCCTGGAATGCACTATCTGACTCTGTTGTCACATCCTCTAACCCTCCACTCCTTTATCCTCAAACTATGCACTATTGACCTCACCCCATTCCTAAGAGGTCTGTAAAGGGCCTGCATAAGTGCACCATTGTGCCTACCGTCCCTGTCCTATTGTCCCCATTTAAGCGTACCTATTTCCTGTATTCTTACTCATGTTTGTACTTATTCCTATTAAGCGACTGACAAATCAGATAAATAAAATAAATAAATAAATAAATAGATGCATTTTAAAACTCCAGTTCCAGAGGTGGCATTCAGCAGGTTCTGACCAGTTCTGGAGAACTGGTAGCAGAAATTTTGAGTAGTTCGGAGAACCTGCAAATACCCGCTCTGACTGGCCCCGCCCCCATCTATTCTCTGCCTCCCATTGAATCCCAGCTGATCGGCTGGGTCTCCTTTCGTTGCCCTGCACAAGAGAACAGAGGTGGAAAGCAGGTTAGTGGGGTGGGGAGAGAATGGGGATTTTGCAGTATCCTTCCCCTGCCACGCCCACCAAGCCACTCCCACAGAACCGGTGGTAAAAAAATCTGAATCCCAGCACTGACCAGTTCCATTTATTCTTTGGAACTGGTGACTCAGCTGCAACCTTTAGAAAAGTAAAAAATGAGCACATTTCTTGGCCAGCGTATTGGAAGTCTGTTGCAATCTGGATGGAAGAATTTTTACGACAATTCTGGAAGTTTTCCAAGCTGAGTTTGGAACTGTTCCAATGCAGAATGCTCAGAATAGTATCTGAATCCTTCCTCTGCTCAATCAAAACAATCCTCTCCAAATGTTTTGACAGTAGTTGGCATTCAACCTATTTGGCCCATCTCTACTATATATATATTAAAAAAGCATTTCAAAGCCACCTTTAGGGGCAAATGAATGCAAAATTCATAGCAGGACCTGTAGAGGTAGTCCTCAACGTACAACTGTATTTGAGCGCAAAATTTCTGTTGCTGGTAGAATGAACTTTGCCCCATTTTACAACCTTTCCTGCCACAGTTGTTAAGTGAATAATTGGAGTGGTCAAGCTATAGTTACACAGTTGTTAAACAAATCTGGCTTGCCGGTTGACTTCGTTTATCAAAGGTCGCAAAAAATGACCCCGGGACAGTGCAACCATCATAAATACGGGTCAGCTGCAAACATCTGACTTTTGCTCATGTGACCATGGGGATGCTGCAACGGTCATAAGTGTGAAAAACACTCATAAGTCACTTCTTTTCAATGCTGTTGTAACTTCAAATGGTCATTAAATGAACTGTTGTAAATGGAGGCAGGTTTTTTGTTTTTTGTTTTCATCCAGAGCAATACTCACGCTAAGTTTTGGCCGGGCTAATCTAAGGTCCATTCCTTCATCCAGCTGCCTCAGTTTCTCAGCTGGGTCCAAAGCTTCTACAAGATCCAGTTCTGCGCCTTCAAAACCCAAGCCTTTTCGTTTCAGAGTCTGCAGAGATTTAAGTACGTTAATATTATATATATGTAAAATCAAACAAATATAATGCCACTAGCTGGATACCCAAACTATATGATTGGACTTACTTTTGGGGGAGGAAAATAAGGGAGAAAAAAATTCTGCCTCTGGCTACCAGCATCCATCGGTATTCATCTGGCTACCACACATCTGTCAGTGTGTGAGAGAGTTGAGGGCTGTTTGGAAACTAAGAGTATTTGCTGTGTGAACAAGGGAACATCAAGGAGCCTGGACGTGCCTTAGCTCAACTGTTCTGCACTAAAGCTGGTTGCTGCTGTGAAACTAAAACTGAAACTCCTCTCCTCTGCTTGTGTTTTGCATTTGGAACAGATTTCTTTTCAGGTGGGGAGAGGGAGTAGAATTCCTTAGCATCAGAGCGTGTTAATAATAATAATATAGGAAATACTAATGTTCTGATGGTCATTTCAAAAAATCCTTTCTTAGTGAGCACCTAGAAGCCAAGAGAAAGATATGTGCCAAATTTCAAGTTTGTAGGCTTTATGGTTCTGGAGATTTTGTGTTGAGTGGTATTTTATATATATAGATTAAATTAAATACAGCTGAACTGCAATTGAGTTACATGCCCAATTTGTGTTTGGCTTATACAGGTAATCTTCGATTTACGATTGCAACTGAACCTGGAATTACAAACTCAGAATATAAGCTGAGATAAAACCCCACTCCCTTCTAGCACTGATGATGTTACCTAGTTTGGATAATGAAATGTCTCCAAGAAAATAACCAAGCTCAGAGATCACCCTCATTTCAACCCTGAGCTACACATATTCTCCTTTGATGGTCATTAAGCGAGGAGTATCTATTACAATGACTTCAACATTGCTTTGTTTATCAAACCACATCTGCATTTCTAACACAGAAGAACTAAAAGGTACGGCAAACTATACACAAACAGCACGTGTATAGTTTGCCAAAAGTGCAGACCTCATAAATGCATCAGATTCATTCTTTTAAAAAAGATAGATTTGGTATTGATCGAAGAGGAGATTTGTAGCTCAGAACTGGACTGTGGGGGCCATTGATGGCGTCACAGGTTGGTTGTGGCCATTTATTTTTCAGCGATGATAGCAACAGCAGTAGCCCTTAGACTTATATACCGCTTTGCAGGCTATTGCTGTTGCTATCATCGCTGAAAAATAAATGACCACAACCAACCTTTTACATCCCTCTCTAAGCGGTTTACAAAGTCAGCATCTTGCCACAACAATCTGGGTCCTCATTTTACCCACCTCAGAAGGATGGAAGGCTGAGTCAACCTGGAGCCGGTGAGAATTGAACTACTGAACTGCCGGCAGCCAGCAGTCAGCAGAATTAGCCAGCAGTACTGCGCTCTAGAAAGGGATGCGGCGGCTTAGTGGCTAAGATGCCGAGCTTGTCGATCAGAAGGTCGGCAGTTTGAATCCCTAGTGCCATGTAACGGAGTGAGCTCCTGTTACTTGTCCCAGCTTCTGCCAAGCTAGCAGTTCGAAAGCACGTTAAAAAAATGCAAGTAGAAAAATAGGGACCACTTTGGTGGGAAGGCAGCAGCGTTCCGTGCGCCTTTGGCGTTTAGTCATGCCGGCCACATGACCATGGAGACGTCTTCGGACAGTGCTGGCTCTTTGGCTTTGTAATGGAAATGAGAACCACCCCCTAGATATGGAAACAACTAGCACGTATGTGTGAGGGGAACTTTTACCTTTATCTTACTGCACTCTAACCACTGCACCACCATGGCTCTTCCTGATGTTACCCAGTCAGGTTAATGAAACATTCCCTTACTAGCACTGATGACGTTACCTGGTTTGGGTAATGAAATGTCTGCATGAAAACAGCTAAGCTCAGAGAACATCAAGGTCCCCCCAGATGGTTTTTGATGTGCCAAAATCCGACAAGCACTTTGAGGAAGCTGGATTTCAGGAACCTTCCCATGTTTTACCTCCAGAATATCTGAGTTGGTTCGGCTCTCGTGGGGCTCGCTGTACTCGGTGTACTTCAAGAGAACCTTGTCCATGTCAGTGCTGGCATACTGGAAGAGCCGGTTGGTGCTGTTGAAAATGATCAGGGCAATCTCACAGTCACAAAGGACGCTCAGTTCGTAGGCCTTTTTCATCAACCCGAACTTTCTCTTGGTGAACGTGACCTAAAGGAGGCAGGAGAAACAGAATACAGGAAGCCGTCAACTGACACTTACACTATCAAGCTCCAAATTTCTGTTGCCAAGCGAGGCATTCGTTGAGTGAGTTTTGCCTCATTTTACAACCTTTCTTGCTACCGTTGGCTTTTTTTTATTATTATTGAATTTGTTTTATTTTTTATATGCAAGAAAATCCATTCCATTTTCATCGTGCGTCGATTAGGTACATATTTCAAATTACTTATCCATTATTAACAATATTCTTCTTATTCATCTTAACACCATAGCAACAATCACACTCCCATACACATAATACAAATACAGTCTGTTACATTAATTTCTTTTATTACTTTAGTGATGTTTAATCCCTTTGAGTTTTGTCACTGTTGTTAAGTGAATCACTGCAGCTCTTAAGTTAGTCACACAATTATTAAGTGAGTGTGGCTTCCCCCCTTTGACTTAGCTTGTCAGAAGTTCGCAAAAGGGGAATCACATGACCCCCCACCCACCCACCCACCCCCAGACGCTGCAACCATAATGAATATGAATCAGTTGCCAAGAGTTTGAATTTTGATCGCTTGATTATGGGGTTGCTACGATGGTCCTAAGTGTGGAAAAACAGTTGTAACTCACTTTTTTTTAGTGCTGTTGTAACTTTGAACAGTCACTAGATGAACTGTTGTAAGTTAAGGACTATCTGTAAGAAGAGGGGCAGATTTGGCCAAGTTGCAACTGGGGCCAGAACTTAAACTCAGTTTCTGTCAACACAAGAGCTCTACTCTCACAAGGGCATTTGCACCAAGACAAATTCCTTGTGTGTCCAACCACACTTGGACCAATAAAGAATTCTATTCTATTCTATTCTATTCTATTCTATTCTATTCTATTCTATTCTATTCTATTCTATTCTATTCTATTCTATTCCTATTCCTATTCCTATTCTATTTCTATACTATACTATACTATACTATACTATACTATACTATACTATACTATACTATACTATACTATACTATACTATTTTCTATTCTGTCAAACTCGAGGCCTGGGGGCCAGATCCGGCCCATGAGGTGCTTAGATTTGGCCTATGGGGCCACCCTGGAAACAGCAAAGGACCGGCCCGCGGTGCCTCTGCCAGCGAAAACAGAGTTCAGGAAGGCCAAAACAGCCAAAAATGGAGCCACGCCCCCCTCCTGCCCCCCCCCCCCAGGGCAAACACAACCCTGATGTGGCCCTCAATGAAATCAAGTTTGACACCTCTGCTCCAGGGCTGGGCTGCTGGGGATTCACAGGAGTTCAGGAGAGCCCCTAGCTAAGATTCTGTGGAGTTTGGAGAACCCCTAAATCCCACTCCTGGCTGGCCCCGCCCGACCCACCCCTCCCACAGCCCATTTTGGATGCAGGTAAGTGTACGGTGTGCGTGGTGGCTCGGGGAAGGTAAAAAACAGGCCTCTCGGCAAGGCCGGAAATGGGCCTGTTTCTGGCTTCCACAGAGCCTCGGGAGCCCGGAGAGGCCGTTTTTGTACTCCCGGAAGCTTGAGGAAAGCCTCCGGAGTCTGGGGAGGGCAAAAACTGTGTTGCAACAGGCCAGCTAGGCCACACCCATCATGGCCATGCCCACCCAGCCACTGGGCAGAGAACCCGTTGCTAAAATTTTTGAAGCCCACCCCTGCCCCGCTCTACTCTCTGTAATGTCATTCAGCTCCTTCTTTCTCCTGCTCTTCCTTTGCTTCAGAAAGTTTTGGGCCTGCATTTCTCAGCCGTGCAGCTAAGCTCACAACCATGACGGTTGTTGACATATTTGTCATCTCTGCCCCGACAAACTCTGGTTCTCAAGTTATTTCCCAAAGACAAAATGACTCTGAGAACTGAAAAGGGGATAGATCAAGGTATGTCTCATTTTATCCCCAAACAATTCTGTGAGAAAACTGGACTAAGAAAAAGAAAAGTATTACCCAAAGTCACTTAATAATGTTGTGGCTAAGTGGGCGGAGTGCATGGTCCCATTAACAAGTGTAATGAGTCAATAATTTTTAAAATCTTTTCCTTTCTGATAAAGCTCATTTTTCTTCATTTTTGCTCTCTTCCCTTTTTCCTTTTCCCCTTTCCCTTTTTCCTTCCTTCCTTCCTCTCTCCCACTTCTTTCCCGCCTTTTCCTCCTTCCTCTCCTTTCCTCCCTCCCTCTCTTCCCTTCCTTCTTTTTCCTCCTTCCTTCCTCCCCCTCTCTCCCTCCTTTCCCTCTTTTCCTTCCTTCCTTCCTTCCTTCCTCTTTCCTTCCTCCCTCCCTCCCTTCCCCTTCTTTAAGGTGGTCCTCATCTGACAGCCACTTGACTTTTGAAATGGCTATTTCAATTTAAAAAGTCTCTCCAGGTTGGCTAAAGATGATGGGAGCCGTAGTCCACAGCAGAAATATCTGGTCAGAGGGTCATCTAATTTCTAGTCCACTTCTGCTTTAGAGGCACTTACCTGCCGGTTCCGTTGGTCCAAGATTCGGCTAATCTGTATCTTTTTTCGGCCCATTGCAGTCCGGAGGGAGGGGATGAAAGAGCTTCCCTAAGATGAGGAGAAAAAAAGGGGCATTATTTGTGTATTCAGGAGTTTTTACGCGGGCAAAACCAGATCTGAAGTCAGAGTTGAATCTAGTTCCTTCCAAACCAGCTTCATCATGACAGCTCCTACTCTGTGAATCTGGAGATTTTTCACATTTCATGGAAGTCGAAGGGATATTTTTAGCTGTTGCATGAACTACTGATCCTAAAGGGAGGGGGGAAAGGAGTCACGTAGCAACGAAGTCCATTTCAAATCACTTTAAAACCATGATTGCAAAGTTAGTCTGTAACGTGGGATTACTCCAACTCTGGAGGCAGCAGACCAATAAATTTTCTCATGCTGACCTGCTGCCCACAATAAGCGTCAAAATCAGCAACAGTCAATTTTTCCATTCCTCCGCCATCAATAAAACATGATTTCTGTGGGCTGCGTTCAAATAAATGCAGTCCATAAAGAAACTTTTCAAAAGGACTGTCTTGGAAAGCGGGCCACTGGTCTGTATTTATGACAATGGCACTGGCTCACGTTATCATCATTTGCGACCTTACCAGCTGGCTTCCGACATGCAGTCATTTGGGAAAGCCAGATTTTAACAATTTGCAGCACAAAGTCGTGAAATGGGGCGAAAGAAACTCACTTCACTGTCTCATTTAGCAACAGAAATTTTGGGCTTGATTGTGATCATCAGTCAAGGACTGCTTGTATGCTATAAATATTATTATACAGGTAGCCCTCGACTTACAACAGTTCATTTAGCGACCATTCGGAGTTACAATGGCACTGAAAAAAAGGTGACTTATTTTTGACAGTTATGCCCTTTGCAGAATTCCCATGATGGGAAATCCAGACACTTGGCACCTGGTTCCTATTTATAACTGTGTCCCAAGATCATGTGATCCCCTCTTGTGACCTTCGGACAAGCAAAGTCAATGGGGGAAGCCAGCTTCACTTAACAACTGGGTTAATGACTTATCAACTGCAGTGATTCACTCAACAACAGAGGCAAGAAAGGCCGTGTAATGGGGAAAAACTCACTGAACAAATGTGTCATGCCCCCTGTCAGGGAGTTGACACTCCCGTCGGAGTCTGAATCTGAGGAGGAAAACGAACAGCCATCAGGGAGCGGGAGAGTGGCTCCATTGGCTGTGGAGAAGCTGGGAAGGGCAAAGTCAAGCAGAGCAGGGGAGAGGTAGAACAAGGGAGAGGAAGACCCAGGCCCACCCCCTCTTCATCCTAGGTCACACAGGATGAGAACGGAGAATGGAGAAGAGAGTAATGTGGGTTGCGTGGCTTATGGGGGAGGAAAGGGCCCTGATTCCCTTCACAAGGCACACCTGGGGAGGGAGTTTAAAGGAGAGGCAGTTTGGGAGGGGCGTTTGTCGGAAACAAATGTTTGAGTTTATCTCATGTTGGCTGCTGTTATGTGAGTTCCTGGTATCCTCCCAACTCGTTTGATTTACTGCCATGTTACTTCACTTCCGGAACTCCTTATCTTGCTCTGCTGGATTTATTACCTTATCTTGCTTCGTTGGATTTATAGTTTAAAGTTTTCTGTTTACACTGCTTTGGATTGGAATATCGGCAGCCAAAGGCCATTGCAGGTTCCTGGGAGAGTTTTTCTCCAGACCGGAAGGTAACTGGATCATTGGGGTCAAAGTTAGAGCTAATAAAGGGACCCTTGCTTATTATCCGGTTGGGTTGCCTTTGTGTCACGCCCCAGGTCGTCACACAATGTCTCACTTAACAGCAGAAATCTTTTGCCCAACTGTGGTCGTAAGTCGAGGACTATCAGTATTACACTTTCACCATTTAAGAATCCAGGCCTAATGGCACCACGGAGAATCCTAAATCAGCTCTTGTCGGTTCCAGGGACTTTTCCATTCACGCTGGTGAATTCCAAGTGCTGGTGTGTATTTTCATTTCCCTGCCCTGCTGTTTTGCTCTCTTATCTTCTGCCTCTTAAGCATCTCGGATTATATTTAGCTGATCAGAACTAATTATAAAGAGATGGAAGGAAACGGTGACCAACTTCCCATGACCCCAACACGGAGGGCTCGATGTGTCATCATCACCCACGCAGGGCACCAAAAGGTGCAGTCAAGAGAGACATTTGTCCGAAGACCGTGATGGGAAGGGGAAATTGAAAGAAAAAATTCCCACGGGGAAGCCCCTTCCCCCACCCCACCCCAGCCTGTTTCCAGACAGAAAACTTTTAATTTGCAAAAGGCAACCATCTCAGATTTTTAGAAGCAGTCACAGTAATTTATGGATGGGGTACTAGCTGGAAACTGAGGCAGATTAGAGACTGGCAACAAGGACCAACAATTTCATGCTGCTATAGTTTTCCATTGCCTCAAAGATGGAAAACACTGCATATGTGTTTGTGTCTTTTTAAAAAAAAAATCCACTTTTTTTTCCCAACATCTCGCTTATTATTTATTTATTTTTTTGGTAAAAAAAATTCTCTTTTTTCTTTTGGAGTTTTGAATTTTAACTTTTGGAATAAATATAAAGACAGTAAAAATGAACTAGTTAGTCCTCAGTTTACAATATTTCATTTACTGACCGTTCGAAGTTACAATGGCACCGAAAAAAGTGGTTTACGACCGTTTTCCACGTTGACCGTTGCAGCACCCCCCGCCATGATCATGTGATCAAAATTTGGAGGCCTGGCAACTGGTTCAGGTTTATTTTTTAAGTTAAAGTCCCACTGGAGTGGAAGGGAGCCTCAAGGTCATCCAGTTCAACCTCCTATCAAAGGCATAGCTGAGATATGGCTGCCCCATCTCAGCTTAAACTGGGTTTAGTGCCACCCAAGGCAGTCTGTTCCACTGCCAAACAGCTCTTAATTCAATAGCTACCTAATGCATGTCAGGTCATTGATTTCTGCTTATAAATGAAACAAACGTTTCATTTAACAAGAGAAACTTTGGGCTCAATTGTGGTTGTAAGTCGAGGACCACCTGCCCTCCTTCCTATTTTGCCCATATTAACCACATTATGAAATGGGTGGGTTTCATCACTTCAAATGTGCTTGAAATTCAGGTGCTTGGCAAGGATTCATTTAACAATGATGGCAAAAATGTTTGTAAAATTGGGTGTGACATACTTAACAACTGCCTCGTTTAGCAATGAAAATTCTAGTCCAAATTGTCATTATAAATTGAAAACCACCTGTAAATGATTAATGTAGGTTTCCAATCTGCGTTGGCTAGCTTTGCACATTATGCAAAGCAACAAGTTAGTAACCACACTATGAAAGGCTGGCTGACATATTGCACCAAGACAGAGGTCTCCAAACTTGGCAACTTTAAGACTTGTGGACTTCAACTCCAGAAGTCTGGGAGTTGAACTCCACAAGTCTTAAAGTTGCCACCAAGTTTGGGGACCCCTACACTATCCTACAATTTTCTTGCTCTTTTTAAATGTGATTTCCTTCCTTCCTTACATCCCTCTTTCTCTCTCCTCTCTCTTAATATATAAACAAGCACAAAAATGAAAATGAAAGAATGAAAAAAGGTAACACAATTAAACAAACTAGGGATTTAAAAGCATCCTGGAGGCTACGGCCTTCTAAAAAACATAATTTGTTATGAGCAATTGAATCTCTCACTTTAAAGGGATTAAGAATCACTACCAAACATAAGCTAAAAATAAGTAACAACGACAACACTATGCAAATTACTGAATGGCACTGAGCCCTGTAGTAAGTTCAGTCTCAATTACTAAGAATCGATTCCGAGTTAGCTATCTTATAAAATGGAAATACACATTGCAATTTTTAAGTCTTTCTCTAGAGCAGCCTCTCTCATCTTTGGCAGCCTTCAGTTGTGTGCGGACTTCAACTCCACACATTGAAGTCAATACATTTGAAAATCACCAAGGTTGAGAAACACTGCCCGACTTTACCGGAACTGCGCTATAAAAGCTGACCAACAGATGGCAGCAAAGAAATAAGGAAAATCTTATCTTTTGGCTTCCATCTAGTGGCCATCTACCTTTCTGAAGACTTTATCTCATACACCCGTGATGGCGAACCTATGGCACGCATGCCACAGGTGGCACGCAGAGCCATTTGTGCAGGTACGCAAGCCCCAGCCAAACTTAGCTGCACTTCGCATGTGCATGTCTCCCAGCTGATTTTCGGCTTGTTTGAGGCTGTTTTTGCCCTCCCAGAGGCTGGAGGGAAGCCTCTAGAGGCCGAAAAATGGGCCTTCTGGAGATACTAGAAGTGCTTGTTTTCAGCCTCCGGAGGGCCTCTGGAGCTCGGGGAAGGCCGTTTTTGCCCTTCCGGAGGCTCGAGGAAAGCCTTTGCAGCCTCAGGAGGTCGAAAAATGGACCTTCCAGAAATACTCATTTTCAGGCTCCCGAGGCTTTCGTCGAGCCTCCGGGAAGGTGAAAAAGGCCTCAAACGGGCCAAAAATCAGCTGGGAGGCGTGCACATGTGCAGTGCAGGTAAAGGGGCGGGGCTGGGGTGTTGCGTACGTGTGTGCAGGGGTGGGTGGGGCACATTGCATTGTGGGCGCCAGCACCCTCACGCTTTTGGCACACCACAATAAAAATGTTTGCCATCACTGTCAAAGTCCTAGCTTTTTCTCCTCCCTAAAATGGAGAATCTGGCATGTCCTTTTTCAGCAATCCTGATCAGCAGAACTACATATATACATATACATATACATATAAATATACATATATATGTATGTATGTATGTATGTATGTATGTATTTGTTTTCTGAGGTTCTCGCGGGTATTTGTATGTGGATCTTTGGTTGTTCGGGTTTTCTCCCGCGTAAGATTCAAAGTATCTAGGCAACGTTTCGATGAAGTCTCATTCATCATCATCAGGCCTCTGTC